TTTGGAACAAGCTTTGACGTTAGATCCAGTGAAGGTAAATATTCATCTCACCTCATTTCATTTAAATTTTTACCCATCCACAACATTATCTATAAAAGAATAATTGTTCATTTCTATTCCACTCAACAAGGTTCATGTATTGTTTGTTGTTTCAGAGTTGTGTATTGTTGATTTTCTCTTTCCAGTCTTTTGTAAGTTGCAGGAATGTTTTTAAAAGGCAACTGACAGGTTAGCTTTCACTCACCCCCCCTGAGGATGATTGGTGTTGATTCTTGATATCCAGTTAATGTGACTTTTTATCAGATCCTTGCACTACTTGGGGTCGTGCTGATACCTGTGCAGGGGTTATAGATAACCAATATAGAACGGACCTTGGCTCATCAACAGATATTTTGCTTCATGACCTTCGGAAGTGCGATGCTCCAATACTTCAAAAAGATGGATTCACTGTTGTCAAGCGGAGTCCGAATCTTCACAAACTGACACCATTTTCAAACTCTTACAAAGCAGCCCTACAAAGAGATTCAATTCAACTCGTCAAGGACCTGTAAGAATTCTCAATCAATTTTTGTTTTCACTTTGAATACCAATTGACCCAATGACTTACTTGTTCTTGTTATTGTAATCAGAACAGGTTCAAGCATGGCAATCTGCTTTTCATATGCAGACAGAGGTGCTTCAGATGAAGATTCATTGGGACCTTATTCATTGATTCACTCTGATTTATCAATAAAAGGAGCAGAATCCTTAAAAGAAGAACTTGAGCGAAAATATATCAAGTCACCTTATAAAAGAGACCGAAAGTTTGGTCAATCCATCAAGGATGGAAAACGTCTTGTTGTTTTCAACGTTTGGAGACCTATTAAGATCGTTAAAGATAATCCACTTGCGATTTGTGATTGGAATTCGATAAAAGAAGAAGATAAGATGGAATTCGGACTGAAGCCCACAAGCCATGGGAATGCGATTCAAACATGGAAATATGGGGATCATCAAAGATGGGTTTACCTACCTGATCAGAAACCAGAAGAAGTCTTTGTGTTTATACAACATGATAGTCATGGAAAAGATGGACATGGAATCAATGTTCCACATGCATCTGTTGTTCTGAAAGGTCAAGAAGATAAACCATCTAGCCGACAAAGCTATGAATTTAGGATTGCAGTAATTATGAAAGATTCAAATGAGCCAGGACTCTTACAGAAACTTCTTTCTTGGCTTCCTCCAAGATTTGCTTCTAAAAAGACACCAACTTAGAGATGAGGAAAAGTTGAAGGAGAGATTCCTAAATCAAAGCTGGACTGTTGTTGCATAAAACCAATCTTTTTGGGTCCTCTATGTGAGAGTAGTACACAGTGCTTGGAGATATCAATGTATACCAAAGTCTTTAGCCATAATCTTGATGCACTGTTGGTGCGCTCTCACTTTTTTTTCTCAACTTTTCCGGTTCTCCACTATGTACATCTCTTATCTCTGCATGTTGTCATAGGCTTATCATTCCAGCTTGAATCTGTAGCCATTCTCTTTGATTGAGATGGCTCTTTGTCGTACTCTTACTTTGTTGTGAAACCTACGTTCTTCATCAATGTGATGACTGTTCAGGTACACTCAGATAAAACCGATTCCTGTCTCCCGAGTCTATAGAAACACTGACACTGTGTGCATCTCAGATATAACTCAGGAAGGGCTTTTGTAAACTCCTTTGTTTATGATTGGAGATTTATTTCAGTAGATGATGAAGTCAATGGTGTAGGGGATGGTGAGAGTAAAAGGTGAAGACTGAAAGGAATGGGACCGAGTTGAAGTTGTGATCAGAGTCATCAAAGGGCTAATCAAGATCAATGGGATTATGATGAGTTGGTTTGAATAGTTTGACTACAATGTAGTGTTCAACGGTGGTGAGTTCATGAGTGAGTTGCACCGAGAGTATGTTTACCAATCGAATGTAGATTGTAATCATTTCTGAGTTGATTAGTTACTCAGAAGCTTGATGAGCTAGAATGATTAGTTTCTTTGATTTTTCTTGATGAGCCTTGTGTTCTTGTAGGCTGAAGTTGAGTGTCAAATGACTGAACTGACTGTAGTTCAATTCTTAAAACTCATCAACTTCAGCTCATCAAGTTGATCATCATCCACCTAATCAAGAATGGCTCTTTGATTAACCTGTTTGATGAGGATGGAAACCTACTCATACCATTGGGGTGTGTCCACTTGGAATCCTTCAGAACAAATCAGAAAGCCTTTCTTCATCACCTTTCACAATTAAATTTCATCAACTCAATCTTTTTCTTGAGTCGCGTCCTGAATCATTTCTTGTTCCTTTCATCGATCGATCAATCCCTTGTTTTGTCCACTCACTCAACACTTCTTCTCATTCCATTTCGTTTGCTTTTCGATCATATAAACCCCTTGACCCCTTGCTTAGGTTCATCTCCTCCCACTTCCAATCTCACACCATATTCCTAAGCAATACTATACCTTACCCTTTCCATTACTCTTCATTAATCATATCACTCATCCTCATCTTCCTCATCACCTTCACCATCATCTAATCAAACATGTCTGAATCTATCTTGACGATAGACGAATGTTTTAGTTCACCTCAAAGACCTGAGATCAAATCCGAGCGTCTTAGAGTCAGAGTTAAAACTCAAGGTGAAAGTCTTAATATCGGTCAACTCAAGAAGGCTATCATTAAAAAAGGTTACCCAAGTCTAAGTGACCCATCTCGTATCACGCTTATCATCCCAGATGGTTAGTTTTTCAAAATTCGTATCAATCTTTTCTTCATCTCCTTTTTCACTTCAATCTAAATCTGCTTTCTTTAAATAGGCAGAGGTACTTTGTTACACGATCATATGATGGCTTCGATGGTACCACTCAATTCCAATATCTTAGCATTAGTTTCCCCAAGTGCGAATGAAACGACCAGATTACACTCTAAAAATGGTCTTCATTTACCTTCAATCTTATTCGTCTACACAAACGCATCACTTAAAACATTTATCAAAATGCCCGATGCGATTCCATTATCTCCTTCGGGAGTTTGGTTAGGATTAAATTTAACTTGGAATGTCAACTTAGATCAATTGATTTCGTATTTTATCGAAATCGGTTTTAATCAAGATCTCGTCATCAAAGAATCTCATCGTCATGATGCTTTTCTTAATTTTTCTTCTTCCGGTCCCTTTGCAAATGTAAATCCTAATCACAAAGGTTATCTGGCTCCTCAACTCATGTTTAGACTTTGGGATGCTGCTGGACTAAATAAGTTAATAGCCTCTCAAAACCGTGATCGTAACCGTTGTACATCTGAAATTGAGGTTTGTTTCTCTCTCTCTCTGTGTGTGTGTGTCAAGTTTTGACGAATCAAAACACTTGCTGATTCGTCGTTCCACCATCGATCTGATAGGTTTACAGTGCTTCGTGTTTCTCTGTGGATTCAGTTTCAAGTACTTCCACTATTCACGGTGCTCAACACGGATACTCACCTAAAACTCCTACACCGATTCCATCAGTCATCATGGCTAGTCCATCCGAACACGAATCCGCTTACGATGAGGGATTTTATCAACACCTGAATCAGTCAGCTAGGACTGTCACAAGTGCTAGTAGTGAGAGTGGTGGAAGTGCTAGTAGTCACGCTTACAGTAGTTATAGTAGTTCTTCTAGTAGTGGTGCAGATGGTTATTCTGATCAAGAATCGATGGATTGGCGTTCGAGTACTACTACACGCTTTTCATCTTCAAGTCGAATCAGTAATTTAATCAGGGTAAGTCTTTTGATCTCCAAATCTCATTTTGGATTGTAAGAAGAAACTGATCTTGAATTGATTTATAGAAAATTCATGAATTAACTCAAGAAAGAGATAGAGTCTTAGGAGAATGTGAAAAATTAAAAAACAATTCGACTTTCTCTTCATCATCATCTCTTAGTAAATCTAGTAAATTTGAGGAAGAACGAGATTTGCTTACCAATCAATTAAAGAATCTAAATCAAGAGAATTGTAGTTTAAAAGAAGAGATTCAAGCCGAAGTTCAAACTGTAGAAGCTTTGTTTCAAAGGATTGGTGATTTAGAAGCTATGAATCATTCTACTCAAGCTGAAGTTAAAGCTGAAGTTCAAAGTGTAAGTCTTTCTTAATTCCTCTATTTCTTAAATCCTCTCTTCGATCCTAATTCGATTGCCTTTTCTTTGATCAGATTCGAGAAAACTTATCAGGTGTGATTACGTGTCCGATCTGTTGTGAACGGTATGGATCCTTATCATCCAACGCAGATAGACGACCAATTCATTTATCATGCGGACATATCTTCTGCGCCACCTGTTTAGACACAGACTGGAGATCACGTTTCAATGATGGTAATCCTAACCCATACCGCTGCTTCAACCGTTGCACAAATGTGGATCCAAGCAGACTAGGTGAAATTTACTTACTAGAAGATGTCAAAGAAATTTTGGACAGATTAGCTGCTTGTTAAAAGAAAAAAGCCTGTTGAGCCTTTTCTGGGTTAGGATCCTTTTCAAAATCTCGATTGCTTTCTTCAATCTCTGCTTTCTTTTTTGGGGAATCTTCTTCGTACTTTCTCTGTCACTCTATCGATTTTCTCTTTTGATTTATCATTTATCAATCAGTTCTTCTCTGTGAACTTCTTCTGGGGTGACTTTTCTTTCATAAGGAATGTAATCTTACTCTCTTCTTGATTCATTTCTCTTCTTTGTCTTTTATGTATCACTTTTAGAAGTTAGTCTTAGTCTTGATTAATGAAAATTTAATGACGTTCAGATACATTCTTATTCCCCTTCGACTGTCTTCACATAGTCCACATACAATCCAAATGATCGAAGTAACTATCTCAGGAAGTAAAAACGTGAGAAATCTATATGATTTGTCCATTTGTGGGATCATGCCAAAAGTCGGACCCTTGAATCCGAATGCCTGTGTAATTCATGTCAATATTAAAACCTTCATATTCGTTCCATTCTTTCTCTCCTTGTAATCCGGGTTAGTATATCGGCTAGTATGGCCGCCTCTCACGCGGCAGAGACGGGTTCGATTCCCGTATCCGGAATTTTTTTCGTTGCTGAGTTTAAAATCCCAGGAGGATGGAACTATTGTGTTGAACTGCTATGTTTTGAATCAAGCAATCAAGGGTTTTTCAAGTTTAAAGACTTGAATTGCAAGATGAGATGATCCAAAACCAAAAGTCATGTTGTTTTTTTTCATTCAATTCATCCTAACAAATAAACGAAAAAAAAAGAAATGCAATGATGACTAAAGGAAAATTGATTAATTTATAAATAAAAAAGTGTAACAAGAAATGAATGGGAAAAAAAAACCCCCAAAAAAGAATTTAAAAAACCAAAAGATCCATTTAGAAAGAAAATGAAGAAAAAGTATAAAAAATATCAAATAAGTTTAATCTATGATATATATATATATATAATCCAAAAACCCAAATATGAAAATCATTCTTGATCATCATCATCATCAGTTTTTGATTTATATGATGCGATTCGAAATGGATGAAGTTTGAAAAATTCAATCAAGTAAAGATTGAATAAAATGTACCGATGAGAGCCATCAGGATTGAAATGATTAATAAGATCGAATTTAAACTGATCAAAATCGGTTGATGAATTAAAGTTTTGTTTAATAATAATTCAGCTGAAACGGGTATAACTATACAAATCACAAAGGCAGCAAATGCCTAAAGAGTGAAGAATCATATAAATCAAATCAGTCAATTCTTCATTGAACTTCTCAAGATCAAGATTGGATCTTAGAATTCATTTTTGGAAATAGATTGACTCAACTCCTAGGAATGACATCACTCTATCAAAGTCAGGGATGATGATCGAAACCGCTACTACAAGTGCAGTAACGATGATACGTGAAAGGATTCGACCAAAGGCTTTTGTAAGTTTTACATTTTTTGCTTTAGGTACAGGTCCTTTCGAATCTTGAGATCTTGAAACAGTTTGATGCTCATCAACTTGATGAACAGAAGAACTAGGAGGTTGAGATTGAATTGAATGTGAATCATCCATTTCACCAGTCTCAAGTGATAAGAGATGTTCGATTGTATAATTTAAAGGACTGATTTGAATTTGAAGTCAAAATGAGTAAGAGAAATGAATTTGAATGATTAAGGTTTGGAGAGTGAAAATCAATTTAAACAAACCGAGTTGAAAGTGCAAATTTAGCTATTGGATTAATGGCTACCATCCAAATTGCAAGTTGATTTATAAAAATCGGAAATCCAGGGGTCACCAGTATATCATGAGTAATTTCTTGGCTCACACTATCTCCAAACCTAAGGGGGGGGGAAAAAATTAAATATTTATAAATTGAAGTCAATTCAAACTAACTTGATGCATTGATTTGAGTTCAAAATTAAGAAAAAAGAAAACAAGAAAGACTTACATTAAATAACCAACTACGCCAATGATCGCATACATCGAACCAGCTGATAAATAAGCGTAATCAATCATACGATTAAAATCTTGAGGATTACGCATATCACGAGCCAAACTTGGAATAACAGAATGACCGGAAAACTGATGAAAGAAAACGAAAGAGAGAAAGGAATTCAAAGCAGATGAGTGATTTAATCAAATTGAGTCTTGTTTTTGAAAAAAGCAAAAAAAAAAAGATTTAAACCAATACGAAATTAAATTTACACCACTCATCATCAGTCCAGCACTCAATCCCCATTTACTATTAGGCCATAAACTAGTTTGAGCAGGAGAAAAAATACTACCAGGAGAATCTGATTTCAAAAATCCATCGATGATCACCACAATGACTAAAGTTAAAGAACTACATAAACCGATTAAACTAGTATAACTTAAGATCTTAAATGGCATAAAGATTGTTGGAATCACTAAGAGAAAGGCGATTAATTTAAAGATCGTAGGTGAATAATTTGAAAAAATCGTCGACATTGAGTCTCCAAAGATCACCATTAAGGCTACTGATAATGAAAAGAGTTCTAAACAAAATAATCCAGCTATTGGATATTGCATCGATCTTCCAAATGCTTTTTAATAGATCATCAAAGAAAAAAAGTGGATTCAAATCAGAATGTCAATAAAAACAAAACCATCTCAATCATCTTCTTAAATATAAATTTAAAAGATCTTAGAAATCTAAATTACCTTTACAACAAATATCGTTATATGTTAACAAAGTTTTATCTTCCATCATCATTCGTGCCAAGATCTTCGCACTAAAAATCCAAATTATCAAAAGTCAAAGATTCATTTAGTTCAAAAATCGAATCTCAAAGATTTGGGTTGGTTTGTTTGATTGTGTTTTTTTAAAAATAAAGAAAGATGACTGACGTATAATTGGTGACTAATCCACAAAACAAAAAAGAAAGAGACTAGAGATCCAACCGGCAGAAGAAAATGCTAAAGGTTCTGATAATAAACCGACTCCACAGAGTACATTGAAACTATTAAAAAGAGTTTGACCGAATGTACTTGTGCCTGTAACAGCTTGGCTTGGGTTTTCCAATCCGACTTGATTTTGATAAGTTGATTCATGAGATGAGGAACTGAAAGGTGCTTGAGTTTCATTAGTTGTAGGTCGTTTGGGGTGTGGTCGAAAAGGTTTGACAGATGGTGAATCTGTCAAGACTGCTGGTTGATCTACTGATGAATCTGATAAAGTATTATACTGTTGAATAGATGCAGAAGATGATAATAAACCTGACCGCTCTGGGTTTGGGACAGGCTGCGATGAAGGTTCAGATGAGCTGGCCAGGATGAGTTGAAGGGTTAGGATTGGTTTGTGATTTTAGTGATGAAATTGATGGTTTGTTAGTCCTGAAATTGATTGATAATCTTCTACTCCAAAAATCTTGTAAACCACCTCTCAATGTCTGAGGATTATGAGAAGCGCTATGTCGGATTGGTCTAGCTTTAGGTGTTGATGGTTCTAAAAGTGGTTGAACTTCAGGTTGATCTCCATCGATACTTGATAGGTCAGGTCCTTCATCCGAGCTATAAGCTTCGTGTGATAATCCAAGACTTTCATTCTCTTCATTCTCTTCATTCTCTTCATCCGCTTCCCATTGACTTTCAACATCAGCTTGAAGTTGATTATTCTGATAACTAGTACTAAAACTCGAATGATTGAAACTACTAGGTAAGTTTTCATTGATAAAACTTTGACTTCTACTATAACTATGTACTAATTCAATCGAACTTGCAATCACACCTCGATAACCTTCTTGTTGATTTTGGTTCACATCATGAACGGATGTAATCGGAGTGGGTGAACTTGATGGCTGCATCAACACTTGATATTATTATAAATCAATCTGTTTCGGTTCTCTATAAATCGCTTTATTTGATAGGACAGCTTCAGGTAAATTCCAAGTAATGTGTTATTTCAATTTCAATGTGAATCCAACGCCTGAGTGATAAGTTTAGCTCTGAAAAGATTACTTCAAATCAAACTCAGATGATTGTTCGTTTGAAGATCAAGGTGTGTAGGAAAAGTTAAACTAAAATGATCATGAAGAGAAGTCAAAGTCAGCGAAAGTAAGAAATTGATGGAAAGATATTATGTTGTAACTCACATATCAAAAAAAAGAAAAAGAAAAACGAAAGAAAAAAGGTTCAATTCTTGACTATGTTGTATTCTAAAATCTGAAATATCAAGTTTTTCATCTTTGAACTCTTTGAGTATGCTGAAGACTAGATTTCAAACAAACTTGAAACAATTCTCTTTTTTTTCAATCTTTCAATGGTTTAAAATGTAATTTATTTTGTATACTAATTTCAAATCTCAAGAGAGAAAAGCCTTTGAAAGGAAATACAGTTTCAAGACAAAAATATAGGGAATCCAACCTAAATTGAGAACTTCAAGATCTTCATTTTCATTTCAGATCTAAATATCTTCATCTTCCTACAAAATCATCTTCTGTAAAATTGTATATTCATTTACCTAATCCCTGAACTTCCTACAGGTTGTGATTGCAAGCAATAGCATGTGTATGACTGATTCTTTTGGAAGGCAAAGTAAGCGGATATCATTCAAGGAAATTGAAGAAACCCCTGCTAAGGATGCCTAAACCAGAATGCTAAAGATATGGATAAATTGAGATGACGTACATAGAGGTGATATAACAGGATATAAACCAAAAGAATGTGGTGTATCTGGATTAAGATCAAATTCAAAGATCCAATTTGTTCAATCATTCCGTGCATTCAGCAAAGTGACATCACATCATGGAGAACAGGAATTGATAAAAGAACATCACATCCAATCCACTGATCTCTTCCTTATGAACCCCAAACTGAGAGAGATCGTTGTATTTCACGTGGTTGGCGACATAGCTTGAAGACCCAGCAAATGACCATGATACAAGTGATAGTCTCAATCTTTCAAAATATGTCGAACATTGAAGCTCATCAAATCTATATATCCTCATCTCAAATCATTGCCCAATTTACGCAAAATAGGCTATCATCCGAATCAGATACAGTATGTTCAGCAAGATGGCGTATTTTTTTGGTTGGCAAGCTTGAGTTCATCAAACAGTAGCAAGACAAAAGAAAAAAAAACAAAGTCTCCTGGGTGAAGAGATTCTAAAAGATAAATACATCGAATCAATAGAGAAAAATGAACCATGAAAAGACTTCTTAGATGTGAGTGATCGGTTGAAAAAGTCTTTAGATCGATTGATTTCATCTACATATAAAGAGTTGAATTTATTTCTACCCGTCAATTGGAAATTGAAGAAAAAGAGTGATACGTCTTGATTCATGCGATCAGACCAGATGGCCTCAAAACATGATGTAAATATGAAATGAGCACAATAGAAAGGATGAGTAAATAACTATTGTTGCAATATACTCCGAACAAATTTCTCGTAGTCGATGTTTCCATCACTTGGTTTCGGGAATGTTGTTATTATCAGACAGATTGTCGATCGTTCAGATAAATGAATGAAAAGAAAGAAGAAGCAAGGTAAAAAATCAGATTAGCAACGATCTCCTTTGAAATTTTACAGAATAAAACAAAGATGATTTGATCATTTAGACCCAAACGTAAAAA